TTCAGAATACTATTTTTATCCTTTTGCCGGAGGCATTTTTGTCACAATTTTGTCGACAAATACACACGGAAAATGTTGTCTTGTTTTGCAGGTTCCCATTAATAGCGAAAACCATACTATTGAAAATTAAATTAAGTCAGTGTCTGAGACATTTGCCCATCCAACGGCTCGCATGAAAGTATTGGAAAAACACAGAGAAAATTGTTTACTCAGGAGCAGCAGGAAGAGCCTTAACGTGGGGCTACCCTTCGCGCGCTGCGAGCTCCGTTATCACAGTCTCTCCCAAACATTTTACATCATAGAGGATTTGAAAGGCTCCAGGAGCCCTCCCCCCCCTTACCCTACCACACTCTTACACCCCTTACGAACAGCAAGCTTAGTGTCACACACTTCGCTGTCCTGACGACTGAGCAAGAGCATGTTGAATCGGAGGCTTATTCTATAAGAGTTTGATACACATTATTTTCCTGTCGGAGTTTTCTGTAGCAACTTTCCTCTTCATTTCCTCAAACCAATCTCGCCGCAATGGCCGGCAAGCGAACCTTTATGTAAGAGGCAAGGTTGAAGAGCAAAGCTTTACGTATCCTCATTAACGGTAAGCCATGTTTTTACTAATTGGCCGTCTAAAAGAGATTCTAAATTAACGCTCTGAGTTTTAGCCCTCCGTCAGAGCGAAGAAAATCACTTAGAAATGTCAATCAAACTAAGAATAATTAACGTATCGTATAGTTCCCAACACTCTAGCAAAACCACGAAGTAATTTACAGTGATCATTTTGTGGACGACAGCGCCTTCACCTTCAGAATACTACTTTTAAGTCCACGTTTATCTCCAAGAGTCAATTTTAATGGAATTTTTGGGTGAGTTTTTGTAAACAAAGTGGTCTATTATGACAAAACATGGCGTTTTTCTGTCGTTTTCCAACGGTCAACCTATTTCAAGCAGTAAACCCGTTATTCCCGTGGGTGAATCCACTTTTATCTCCCAGACTCAATGCAAGCAGAATTTTTGGGCGAGGTTTTGTTAACAAAGTGGTCTATTATGACAAATCATGACGTTTTTTTGTCGTTTTCCAACGGTAAACCCGTTATTCCCCGTAGGTAA